CCGGGGGGGTCTGGGGGGCCACACTTCAAGACAATATAATTTCAGAAAATCACCCGACAACTTACTCAACAAACATAAAACCCCAACTCCATATCTTTCTTGGGGTTCCAAGGGTTCTCCGGCAAGCCCAAGCTCCAGCGGGGAAAACCCAATGGAAAAACGTAAACTCATAGGTTTTTCTTGGTTCTTTTCCGGGGGCTCCGGGGCCCTACACTTGAAAATTCGTCCCAAACCGCAGCGAAAAGCCAACGACAAAAAACCCCAACTCTAACATTGTTCAATGTTTTTCGGTGGTTCTCCGGCCAGCGTTCCAGGGGGGAAAACTTCCAAAAACCACCAACCTCGTGGGTTTTTCGGGGGTGTTCCAGGGCGGTCTGGGGGGTCACAATTAAAAACAACATTCTTTTTGAACATCACCCCCAAAACTATAGAAAAAACATTCCAACTCGGTGGATTTTGTAATGTTTTTCATGGTTGCTCCAGCCAGCCCAGGCTACAGAGGGCCCCCCCCCAAAAAAACAAACTCGGTGGCTTTGCTTGTGTTTTTCGGGGGGGTCCGGGGCCCCAACCTTAAAGACAAGACTATGTTTTAAACACCCCCCGAAAATCAATAGGAACATAAACTGTCACTTTCTGGAATAATTTGGGTGTTCTCCGGCCAACCCAGGCTCCAGAGGAAGAAACCTTGAACAATTTGTCGCTGGGGGGTTCCCGGACACCACTCTGAACAACAATACCGTTTCTAAACGTCCCCCGTAAAGCATAGAAAAACCCTCGAAATCGAAATTCCCAGCGATTCTTTCTTGCAGCGGGATGCTACTGAGTACTGGGTGATGCGTACTGGGGGATGCGTTGGAGACGGAGGCTGGTCAGTACCTGAATTTGCGTTGGAGACGGGAGTTGTTGAGTACTGGGTGTTGTGTTGAACGCAGAAGCACGCCGAACGGGCGGCGGGGGGCGGGCAGGCGGACCGGGATTTGAACAAAACTCCCACGGACTCTCTCTTGCAGCGGGATGCCGCTCGGTACTGGGAGTTCTGTTGGAGACGGAGGCTGTTGCGTACGGGGTGTTGTGTCGGAAACGGACGCTGTTGAGTTCTGGGTGTTCTGGAACGCGGAAGCACGGCGAACGGCGGGCGGGCGGCGGGCGGGCGGATCGGGCTTGTAATGGAGCTCCCACGGGTTCTCTCTTGCAGCGGGATGCCGTTGAATACTGGGTGTTGCGTTGGAGATGGAGGCTGCTGTTGAGTACTGGGTGTTTTGTTGAAGACGGACGCTGTTGAGTACTGAGTGTTCTGCTGAACGCGGAAGCACGGCGAACGGGCGGCGGGTGGCGGGCGGCGGGCGGACGGCGAACGGGCGGATCAGGATATGAATTAAACCTGCTAAAGACTGACTCTCTTTTGCAGCAGATGCCATTGAGCAAGGGGTGCTGTGTTGGAAACGGGAGTAGCTGAGTACTGGGTGCTGTCATGGAAGCGGGCGCTGTTGAGTACTGGGTGTTCTGTTGAACGCGGAAGCACGGCGAACGGGCGGCGGGCGAGCGGCGGGCGGGCGAACGGCGGGCGGGCGGCGGGCGGGCGGATCGGGCTTGTTTAAAGAGCTCCCACGGGTTCTCTCTTGCAGCGGGGTGTTTTTGAGACCTGGGTGTTGCGTTGGAAACAAAGGCTGTTGAGTACTGGGTGTGTTGTTGGAGACGGACGCTGTTGAGTATTGGGCGTTCTGTTGCACGCGGAAGAACGGTGGGTAGGAGGCGGGCGGGCGGCGGGCGGGGCGGCGGGCGGCGCGGCGGACGGCGTGCGTGCGGACTTGGACCTTTCCTTTTCTGAAGGACTTCCTACGGATTCTCTCTTGCAGCGGCATGCTCTTAAATATGGGTATTGTGTTGGAGACGGAGGCTGTTGAGTAGTGGATGTAGTGTTGCAGACGGATGCTGTTAAAAACTGGGTGTTGTGTTAAACGCGGATGCGCGGCGGGCGGGCGGCGGGGAGCGGGCGGCGGATGCTGCGGAATACTGGATGCTGTGTTGGAGTAGTGTTGGATGTAAATGCCATTGGGGACTGGATGTTGTGTTGAACGCGGAAACGCGGCAAACGGGCGGCAGGGGGGGGGGAATCGACGGGCTGGCGGGCGGGCGGGCGCTGAGCGGATCGGAATCCCACCAGCCCTTTGGGCGTGAGTGGTTTAGAGAGCCCGCTCTGTTCTCAACCCCCCTTCTTCCCCTTCGGGGAGGGGTTTACCCCTCCCCCTACCCCCTCCCCCTGGGCCTGGAGAGGTCCCTCCGCGGGTCGCCGGAGGGGTCTTTTTCGACTCCTCGGAGGGCTAAAAAACGACACCCCTCACGAGGATTCTGGCCCCGACGGGGGGAGGGAGAAAAGTGCTCCCCCCATCTGTGATCGATCGCCCGACAGATGGCCCCAAGATTCCTCCCAGACCCCTCCAAGAGGCCTCCAAGAGGCCTCCAAGAGCCCCCAAGAGGCCTCAAAGAGGCCCCCAAGATGCTCCCAAGAGGCCCCCAAGAGGCCCCGAGAGGCTCCCCCGAGGCACCCAAGACGCTCCTGGAAGCCCCTGGAGCCGCCAAAAGGCCCCCAAGACGCCCCAAACCGCCTCCAAGAGGCTCCCAAGAGGCCCCAAGAGGCTCCCCCAAGGCACCCCAGACGCTCCTAGAAGCCCCTGGGGCCGCCAAGAGGCCCCGAAGACGCTCCAAAAGGCCTCCAAGAGGCTCCCAAAAGACATCTAGTACTACTTCTACTACTTCGACTACTACTACTACTACTACTACTACTACTACTACTACTACTACTACTACTACTACTACTACTACTACTACTACTACTACTACTACTACTACTACTACTACTACTACTACTACTACTACTACTACTACTACTACTACTACTACTACTACTACTACTACTACTACTACTACTACTACTACTACTACTACTACTACTACTACTACTCTACTGCTACTACTACTACTACTACTACTACTACTACTACTACTACTACTACTACTACTACTACTACTACTACTACTACTACTACTACTACTACTACTACTACTACTACTACTACTACTACTACTACTACTACTACTACTACTACTACTACTACTACTACTACTACTACTACTACTACTACTACTGACTGCGACTACTACTAGTACTACCACTACCACTGCTACTAGTACCACTGCTACTGCTACTACTGGGCCTACTACTACTGCTGCTAGTAGTACTAGGACTATTACTTCTGCTCTTACTAGTACTTCTACGACTGCTACTACCACGACAACTACCACTACCACTACTGAGACTACCATCAGTACTACTGCTACTACTACCACTACTACTACTACTACTACTACTACTACTACTACTACTACTACTACTACTACTACTACTACTACTACTACTAATACTGCTACTGCTACTGCTACTATTACTACTACTACGACTACTACTACTACTACTACTACTTCTTCTTCTAAATCTAGTACTACTACTTCTACTCGTGGTGCTACGGCCTCTACTACTACCAGTACTAGTACTACTACTACTATTACTACCACTACTTCCATATAGACCACTGCTCTAGTGACTGCCACTGAGCAACTCACACCACGAGAAGCCCGAACGACTCACACCAGGACGAAGAGCCCGAACGACTCACATCACGAAGAGCCCGAACGATTCACACCAGGAAGAAGGGCCCGAACGACTCACACCAGGACAAGAAAC